CTGAGACCACAACAGGAAAGCCACCCCGAAGAAACATCTGCACCTGCCTCAGATCCTGGTTTGTGTGCCCACTTGATCCTGAGCACCCCTGTAGCCCAGACCTGAAGGTGAGGTTTGTGCCTGGGTTCACACTGACTTCCTTCACTGTGTCTCACACAGCAGTAGCCGGCCATGCCCCCATTCCAGGTATCGGGTTTAGAGTTTCAGCTGATCCTTGGCACCTTCTCTTTAGATGCCAGTCAGCCCTTCATGGAGTCTGCATAGTTCTTAGCGCCATCATCAGTTACATTGGGCAATGCACCGCAAGCCTTGTCCCAGGGAATGCAGAGGCTGCACAGGAGAGTTTCAGGGACCTCTGAGGTTGCCCCAAGTCTCCCTCGGATCCTTCAGAGTCATGTCTATAGGCTTATTTGATGTTAAACAGTCTCCATGGCTCTTGCTTTCACTCAGCTTCCCCGTTCTCTATGCTTAGGTTAAGTTCTTGTTTGCTACCTGTTTGGTGTTTCCCGTTTGTACATATGATCAAAGGTGTCCCTATTGCTGCCCAGTGTTCCCTAAGAACACCTCCCAGCAGCAGACTACCAAGATCAACCTTGGGTCTACTCTGGCCTCTTCTGGACTAACCCACGAATGGCTGTTCCAATAAGCAAGGTACCTGGAGGATAAATTATATTAATTTATTGATCATGCTGAAGTAATTCCAGGTGATTACCATTAATCTGTCTCTAGCTTCCCCTTCTTTATTTTCCTGTTCACCCTCAGGACCCAGGTGAGCCTGGAGACAGATAATTCGAGGTGCTGAAATTGGGGCAGATGGGGATCTGAGATCAGGCTATGCTGTGTGGAAAGATAGTAGATCATTCTTGGTTGAATGTTTTGTGCTTCCTGAAAGGTAAGAGACCCTGCAACCTGGGCAGGGGACCTATCCTAGGCCCCTCATCAAGGTACCTTCATCCAGTAGGTATGTAAGACAGACTCAAATGCAGTACTGTGCCATCCTGACGATGAAGCGTCCACTAAGGACTTCTTTGTTGCTGATTTGTCCACTTTCATTCCAGGGTATATTGAGATATCCATGTGCCCAGGGTGTCCGGTCAGCATTTCACGGGTTAGTCAGAGAGGGGTTGGCCCGCTGCTGTTATCATGAGTAACTTTGAGGACTTACGTCTCCATGAGTGGAGATCCCCAGTGTGCTGTGAGAGGGAGTTTCTGGCACTGGATACACAGGGTGTCCTTAAGATTGACACGTTTCCAGTTTGGGATGAAGATACAGCCCCACTTGCAGTAGGTCCTGTGAGGTTAAGTTGTTGGCTCACAGCGATCTAAAGAATGCACAGAGCCAAATATTTTAGGGTTATCAGCTCACACTGGTAGAGGGGTACACAAAATCATTCTCTGAGCCCTTTCCCTAGGTCTGAGTAAAAGGCCAATGTTAGTTTTGAAAAATGGATACAATGGTTCCAATGTATGTACCTTTAATTTTCTGCTTCCTGCATCTCTTGTGACCCGAGTGTCCCCTGGGAATGAGGGGAGGGAGGGGATCGATGACAGAATAACCAGTAATCAATATGCCTTACTTAACATGGGTTTCACCACACCTCTGCGGAGAAACCAGATGAAATTAGGGTTTACAAAGTAGTAAATCAGTACAACGGAACCCTCAGGCACCTTACTTATTGGGTAACACGTCCCTGCATATGTCGAATAGCAGAAAAGACTCCTTGAGGCCACAGCCCAGTATAGGGGAGATCTACAAGACACCTGTGATATGGACACGATGTTTATCATATATAAGCATTTATAAACTATTTTGCCAACTGCCATGAATCAGATGCAAATGATTTAAAAGTTTACTGAAAATGTGCTTGTGATTCCTGGTTTAGCCTGTTTACCTACCTTAGTTCCTTACATTTAGGTAAAATCCAAGAGAGAAGACAGTTCCACAAACATAGTTAGCAGTGTGAGTTTCTTGATGGGGTAGATTTGGGGTCAGTTTAGGCCTGTGGAGTGATAGAGTCAGAGTCTGTATGTAAGATTGGAATCTCAGTCCTGGGATTAATGTTCCCGGTTCAAGAACAAAAGTCAATGGATAGAAATAGAAGTTAAGTGTCATGAGTTAAAAATCAAATGTTAGTGGACAGATTGAAGGGTTTTAAGTTTAGATTGTGTCGTGCCTAATATCTTATGCTTGGAGTTCATTAGGGGCTTATGTATTATGGTATAATAATGTAGAGTTATGTTTAAAGATTATAGTTTTGGATGTTTGGTTTCTGAATTTGAGACTTGGGGTCATTAAGTTAGGATTAAGGTTATAGAATATATTCAAAGTTGTGTTCCTGATTCAAAGAATTGGGATAAATGAATTAGGCCAGTTTTAGAGTATATGGCATTACAATTTGTTAAACAATCCTAATTGGTTTTTTAGTTAGTTGTGGGTATCAGGGAACGCTCCAGGTGTTAGTAGATCTACTGAATGGAAACGGGCTTTTCAGGGAGTGAGGGGTTCCACCTTTTGAGAGATCATCAGTGTGTTGTAAGGATGCTCAGCATGTTAAGGTGTAACCGTTAATTGTTTCGGAACTTTTGATTAGCAATTGATGGTCAGTGAGTAAAATACCAACAGTTATATTTGTGTGTTGGGACGTGCCCTACAGCATTTGTGTATTTATCAGCAATAGTACTTGTGGCATATCTTGAACATTTTATGGATATGACCATTAATTTATGACTAGAGGCATTCTTATTTCTTCTCTTTGGAAACCTCTTTTCTTTTTAAAAAATACTTCCTGATTCCTCTAGTTAGAACATATAGTACAATTTTTAATGTCAGTGGTGAGAGTGGACATTTTTGTTTGTCCTTTTTCTGAGGTGGGGTGATGTTGTTCTCTTTCCACTAAGGATGACATTTTGTCATTTTTGTTTTGTTTTTAGGAATATATATTAGCATACATTGAACTATGTTTGCTGTTAGATTTGTAGAGGTGGCTTTTTTTTTAACATGAAAAACCTTTGACTTTGTTTAGGAGGTTTTATGTGTCTATTTAAATAATTGATTCTTTTTTGCATTAATTGCTATCTTACAGTGCTTATTTTCTTATGTTAAATCAGCTTTGGGACAGATTCCAATTAATCACGGTATATAATTATTTTAATGTGTTGTCTGATTCAGTTCCCAATGTTTTAAAGAATTTTTCTTGCAGATCCCTTATCAATATTGGTCTACAGTTTTCTTGAGGTATCATTATCTGACAGTGGTATAAGGTTATTAATGGTCACAAAGAAAGTGTTAGTGTTCTCTCACAACCATTGTTATGTTTGCACCCAATTACTTGAACTTAAACAACACACAGTAAAGTGTTTATTCATACTGTCTGAATACTCTGGTCTTTAGCTGCCAGAACCTTCAGCATTAATCTCTCTTATAGTTAGCCCTGTAGTTTCACATAGAATCTAATTTTGATTCAATTGATTTTAGACCTTCTGAGCATCCTGAAACTCTCAACTCTCATAAATCACTTGCTCTGGTCTGGGTCCTCTGGTCTTGCAGCTGACCCCTCAGTGTAGAGGGATAAATGATTTACACCGCTATTTACAAATATTACTACTTACAGATAGTCACTCATACCTGAGTCATTGTGTGCTGCTCTCACACTAGAGCCCAAGTTTGGGAAATACTCTGCCATACAACATGCTGGATGGATCTTAGAGAATTTCCTTCAGCTCACCTTCAGGAGGATGGTGTAAATCAACGAGGGGCAGGAATTCCTCAGTGATTTTGTCATCGCTTTGTTTTATATTTATGTGTGTGTGTATATGTATATATATATTTAAATGAAGGAACCCCATTCCTTTTTAATAAGAGAGCTTATGTTCCAGCCAATGCCACATGAAAGGTTTGGCATCAGTTACTATGGAAATAACTTTGTAAACATAACTAACACACTGGTGTTTTCTGCAGGTCTTGGGTGCTGATCAGTGGTTTCTGAGGTTGTCATTAGGTGTCATTGAGTTGATGCCACACCCTAGGGACCCAGTACACGACAGAAGGAACACTGCCTTCTCCTCTGCCAGACTCACAATTTTGGAAGGACCCTGAGGGTTGCAGAAGGGCAGTGCCAATGATATCCACCTAGCCACGCAGGCGAATGCCTCCCGAGTTTATCACAGCATTGCCTCTTTCCACCACATTCATTTTGCTTTCCTGCCAAACTAGATTGCTGGTGGAGCATGGTGCACAAGCTCAAGCCAAGGCACTAGACTACCCTTCTTCCTAGAAGACCAAGACTATGGATTAACATCCTAGAACCCAAACCAATAACTCCTCTCCTAGTTTGTGTTGTTTACCATCTGTCAGCATTACCTAGAAAGCTTGGAACCTAGCATCTAGGCCAAGATGACAAGATGGTTGATCAGACATCTCTCTCCTGGATCCATCTTGTTCTTTTAAGCTTCTGCCCTCCCCTTGGCTCTTGGCATCACCCATCTACCTACCCCTTGCCATTCCTTGACTGTAGGCTGCAGTCTTTCACAAAGGCTTTAAAATTAGACATCAGTAAACCCAAGAGCTTAAGAGAGTAGCAAATAAGGATTCCCCTGGCTTGTTTTCTTGTTTAGGGTATGTCTGCCTTGGTCAAGGTACATCCATCTCGGATGTCCTATTGGTGTCCCTCTGTCTCTTGTTGTCCACCTCTACAATTTCTCTAGTTAGCGCATGCTATTATGCTTAAATGGGCTACCCAACCATAGGCATTTCTTCACACACAATAGATATTGTAAAGAATACACAAAATTCAAGGGGATTGGAGCAGGTTAAACCTGATGAAAAGTTCAGCATGGATTGGAGTGGCATATTTGAGTATGATTCAACTTGATCACTTTAGCCAAATATGTCAAGGGTTACGGTTTGAGGTGCAGTACAGGCTGGTAAAGAACATTCTTCATAAAATATTCCTTTCTTCAGTTAGATTGCTGGTGAAAAAAAGATTTACCTTCGATGGAGTTTGTGAATTTTGAGGCCTTAAAATTTTATGTTTTATTCTAAAAATGAATTTTGAATATATAGGATGTGAATCCAAAGTTGATCATGATATTTGAGCCATTAGTAAAATTGCTCTGTAAAGAGAGAGTGGGCTCTGTGTTTAATGCAAGCACCTCAGCATGGTTTTCATCCCAGGGGGCATGTGTGGTCACTATTTAGGGCAAGAAGTCCAGGCCAAGAACCTTACATACCTTTCTCAACAGTCTCCTCTTCTGTTTCAGAACACAGATTTGCCAAAAAGAAATACAGTCCTGTCTGGGGAGCTAGCAAGCTGATTGATGCATCACAAGGAAGAATTTCAGCTTCTGACTAGTGTGTGAACTATATTCACTCACCTAACTCCAAATTTCCTAATGGCTCTGCTGCTGTTATTTAGAGATGGCCTTGATTTGACTTCAAGAAGCTCGAGCTACAACATGGTGAGTACTAAAGAGACCTAGGGTATTTGCATATACAGAGAATGGTTAGATAGGAATTGTTGGGCACTGTGCCCCAAGACCCGAGGCTCCCCCATAAGATAAGGCATGACAATGGCAGGGACAAGGAGCTGAGCTTTGTGAAGCATTCTATGCTACCAAATATATCTGTGGTTTCAAGCACTGGATGACTGTGTTCATCTTCCCTATGGGACTTGGGGCTGGTCACATAAGGTGTCAACATCCCAATTTGGGCCTTGGTTTGTTGTGGTGGGTAACAGACTTCCTGAGCAGAGTCTGGATATGAAGCTCTACCAGAGGACATGAATGATCAGGAATCACCCTTGCTCCATCACTACTTTTACCTTTATTCCCTTCAGGCAGTGAAACATTTCCTAGAAAATGCTAAAAATGGTTGTATTAGTCTGGGTACTTTGGAGAAACAAATCCACGGCGACTCATGTATAAGAGAGAGTTTTATGCAAAGAAAATGTGCATCACGAAAACATCCC